ACACACACACTCACACACAAACACACACACACACACACACACACACACACACACTCAATCTGTTCCAGAACCCAGTTAGCTGTCTACAAACACTGCAAAAAAAATAAAAATACACTTTTGTCTTGTTTTCCAGTACAAATATCTAAACGCTTTAAAATCAAGATATATTACTTGTGAAATGACTTAAAATATTAAGTCTTAATAAAAAGTCGCAATTACCTTTTTTTAAAACATTTTATTCAATGGCAGAAACATATAAAATATCTGTCAATGGGGTAAGAAAAATAAACTCAAAGGGAAAACAACATCAAGTATTGACACGTATATATATATATATATATATATATATATATACAGTATATATAATTTTTTTGTTTTTTCATTACTTAATATCCTCAGTAATTTTCTATCTTAATTTAAGAATGTCTAGACATATGTAATGGAAAACAAGACAAAAATACTATACACAGCATCCTTCATAAGTGAATGACAGTCTAACTATAGCATGATGATAAACAATATATACATACATACATACATACATACACACACACACACACACACACACACACATATATATATATTTTACATTTAGGTGTTGAATGAGTTAGTTGTACACTGAACATTTGTCTTTATTCACCATCACTGGCTTGCTGCAGTTCATTTCCTTATATAATTGGCTAAAGATACTGCATATTTGTTGTGTTTTTAAATGCTGTCTGCATCTCGTGAGGTCAGGAACAGACTCACAAACACACCCTTTAATGCCACTACGTACAGTCTGAAGACTCAGATAACTGTGTGTTAAAGCTCTGGTGTGTGTGCAGGTTGGAGGCCGGCGTATAAGTACTATAACATGTGGCTGTCTCTGTTCGGAGCCGTGCTCTGCTGTGCCGTGATGTTTGTGATTAACTGGTGGGCTGCATTACTCACCTACGGCATCGAGTTCTTCCTCTATATTTACGTTACCGTGAAGAAGCCAGGTAAGAGCGCAGATGCATGCGTCGCTCCTGCAACAGATAAAGCAGAGAGCCATATGATATAAAGACATAAACACAAGCATGATATAACAGAAGTGTCTCCTGCTTCTCTCAGATGTGAACTGGGGTTCGTCCACTCAAGCCGTGACGTTCATAAACGCTGTGAACAACGCTCTGATTTTATCTACTGTGGACGAACACATCAAGAACTTCAGGTGCGCTCAGGTCAAAGCAGATAAGCGGGTGTTTAATGCAGATTAGATTCTCAGAGTTTCTCCTGAATGTTCTGCTGCAGACCCAAGTGTCTCGTGATGACAGGATCGCCCAGAACCAGACCGGCGCTGCTGGACCTGGCACATTCATTCACTAAGAATTATGGGCTGTGTCTGACCTGTGAGGTGTTTGTGGTGAGCAGATGTTCTCATGCAAACAAACACATCTCCACACACCAGGACTTCTTGCGGGACTATGTCGATCTTGATCGTGTGATTAAATCATGTTTTATTAAGCAGATGAAGGTCAGATTTGTCAGACGGCGTGTGTGTTTTAGGGTGCGCGTGATAAGAATCTGCAGGACATGAGCGCTGCTGTTCAGCAGATCCAGCAGTGGCTGAACAAGCAGAAGAGAAAAGCCTTTTACACGCCTGTCACCACCGAGAACCTGCAGAGAGGAGCAGAAGCGCTGATGACATACACACACACACACACACACACACACACATATATATATATTTTACATTTAGGTGTTGAATGAGTTAGTTGTACACTGAACATTTGTCTTTATTCACCATCACTGGCTTGCTGCAGTTCATTTCCTTATATAATTGGCTAAAGATACTGCATATTTGTTGTGTTTTTAAATGCTGTCTGCATCTCGTGAGGTCAGGAACAGACTCACAAACACACCCTTTAATGCCACTACGTACAGTCTGAAGACTCAGATAACTGTGTGTTAAAGCTCTGGTGTGTGTGCAGGTTGGAGGCCGGCGTATAAGTACTATAACATGTGGCTGTCTCTGTTCGGAGCCGTGCTCTGCTGTGCCGTGATGTTTGTGATTAACTGGTGGGCTGCATTACTCACCTACGGCATCGAGTTCTTCCTCTATATTTACGTTACCGTGAAGAAGCCAGGTAAGAGTGCAGATACAGTCGCTCCTGAAAAAGATAAAGCAGAGAGCCATATGTGACCCTGGAGCACAAAACCAGTCATAAGGGTCACTTCAGGTGCGCTCAGGTCAAAGCAGATAAGCGGGTGTTTAATGCAGATTAGATTCTCAGAGTTTCGTTCCTTCTGTCCCGATGCAGACCCAAGTGTCTCGTGATGACAGGATCGCCCAGAACCAGACCGGCGCTGCTGGACCTGGCACATTCATTCACTAAGAATTATGGGCTGTGTCTGACCTGTGAGGTGTTTGTGGTGAGCAGATGTTCTCATGCAAACAAACACATCTCCACACACCAGGACTTCTTGCGGGACTATGTCGATCTTGATCGTGTGATTAAATCATGTTTTATTAAGCAGATGAAGGTCAGATTTGTCAGACGGCGTGTGTGTTTTAGGGTGCGCGTGATAAGAATCTGCAGGACATGAGCGCTGCTGTTCAGCAGATCCAGAAGTGGCTGAACAAGCAGAAACGCAAAGCCTTTTACACGCCTGTCGCCAGCGAGAACCTGCAGAGGAGCAGAAGCGCTGATGCAGGTCAGTCTGAACACAAACACAGAGATGGATGGATGGATAGATGTTCTACAGTCTCTGTATCCAACAGGATGTTTTTTACTGTATTATAGTAATGAGAATGAGATTTTCATGAAGATGTGTGTCTGTGTGTGTGTGTGTGTGTGTGTGCAGGCGTCAGGACTTGGCAGGATGAAGCCGAACACAGTGATGTTGGGATTCAAGCGTGATTGGAGAACCGCCAAACCACAGGAAGTTCAAAGCTACGTGGGAATTCTGCAGTGAGTCCTCAAACTGTCTGTCTGAATCACCTGCCCGTCTCTCTCTCTCTCTCTCTCTCTCTCACACACACGGGTTCTGTTCTCCCCGCAGCGATGCATTTGATTTCGAGAACGGGACCGTGATATTGAGAATCAGTCAGGGGATGGACATCTCTCACATCCTCAAAGCAGAAGGTACAACAACACCAACAAACTCTCAGAATAACAAGATGTGTCATTCAGCGTAATGCTCAGATAAACACTACACAACATTACTGCATGTGTTAAAGACATGAAACAGATGAGTTAAAGGAACAGTTCACCCAAAAATGAAAATGTGCTGAAAATGTCAACCAAGATCAGGATGAGTTTGTTTCTTCATCAGATTTGGAGAAATGTAGCACTGCATCAGTGTATCAGCAATGGATGCTCTGCAGTGAATGGGTGCCGTCAGAATTATGTAATGCTGTGTGATTGTCAGAGGAAATGGAGCGCATGATCATGGAGCAGCAGGCGCTGGAGATGGAGGAGAATGACTTTCAGACACAGGGACGCAAAGGGTTCTTCAACAGGTCCAAGAAAACCTCCAAAAAAGAGCTGACCAGCAAAGGTACGGCCGCTCGTTCTCTCTCTCTCTGACGGTCTTCTCAGAACTTTTGGCTGATTAAACCTGCCTCTGTAAAACCGTCTGCTGTTATAATCTAATAGTCTGGTCTCACGGAGCACAGCGGCCTGAACTCCATTAACATCTCAAACGCTGCAGACTGCGTTCACCGTTATCTTCACCTTCACTGCCTCTTCTGAAACAGATTCAATCACTCGGTCACGTGTCATTTAGCAGCGCTCGTAGTCCAAACGACTCATTAAACTCTCATTTGTTGGTCTTTTGTGCTGATGTCTGTAATCACTGCGGTCTGATAAAGCACATCTAGTGGCTACAAACATATCACTTGAGCCACAATTAAAGAAATATGAGTGTATTTGCATTAGACAACAAACATTTATTTTAAAGAAATATAGTACAGGCCAGTGTTATTTTAGTGGCATTGAGATATTATTAATAGTTTGAATTATTTTTCATTTTGTTTTCATTTTATTTAGCATTTTTATGTTTTTTTTTTAATATGTCTATAAAGTTTTATTAATTTTATTTCCGTTTTAGTCATTTTAGTACATCAAGTTAAACTAAATGAAAATAAGAAATGTTTCCTTGGCAACTAGCTGAAATAATATATATATATTACTTATTTCAGTAAATGTTTATTTCATTTCGAGCAACACAAATATTTTAATGGTTTTATTTAACTATAATAAGTGAAGTTTTTTTATCAATTTTATTTCAGTAAACGTTTATTTTATTTGAAACATCAACTATAATAACAACAGGTTTCAAAATATGAAACAATAAATATATTACTCAAAATGAAGGCAAAATATCCCAAAGACCAGATAAAATCATTTAAAAAGTGGTTCAGAAAAGTGCATTTATTTGTGAAAAAACCTCAGTGCGGATGCTTCTTGATTTAATATTTTGCATCTTTTGCGATTCAATTCAGAGATTTTTTTTGGCATGACTTTGGAGTTTAAATTATTTTTGATGCTTCTCAAACCTTTCAGATCACAAGACTCACACTAGTTCTGCAGTCCACTTCAAACACATCAACGCTAAACACAGTCTGGATTTTGAGTTTAATGTCACCTGTGTGTCCAGAAGAGCTGAGGGCTTTTTGCTTTCCTTCCTCAGTCTCTCTGGATGTTCCTCAGACATCAGATCTGGCGAAGATGAACCAGCGTCTGGTGGAGGCCAGCAGCCAGTTCAAGAACAAACAGGGCAAAGGGACGATTGACGTTTGGTGGCTGTTTGATGACGGAGGTGAGCGCAAGTCCTCCTGCCGTCTTCTGTTCCGTCAGGTCTGAAGTGTGACGTTCATGCTTCTTCGTGATGTTCTGCAGGTCTCACGCTTCTCCTGCCTCATATTCTGACCACACGCAAGAAATGGAGGGACTGCAGACTCAGGATCTTTATCGCCGGGCAGCCTGAACGCATCGAACAGGACAAAGAGGAGTATGTCAGCATACACACAGAGACAGACACTGATGCCTCTAATGAAACACCTGCTGACCTGTAACCCGTGTGTTTTTCTCCGTAACTGTCTGTCAGAATGCAGGAGCTCCTGAGGAAGTTCAGGATCAAATGTGCCGACATCAAAGTTATCACAGACATCAACGTCAGGCCCAGCGCAGAGAGGTGTGAATGAAAAACACACGCAATTAATCCTCATTTCATTCACTGACACGCTCCACGTGCTCCGAATGCACTCTCTCACTGCGTGTCTGTGTGTGTGTGTGTGTGTGTGTGTGTGTG